GTTGACCTTAAGTAAAAGATTACTTTCCATAATGTGAATGGGCCTCATCCAGTTGAAGGCCTTAAGAGCAAAAGGGGGAGTTTGCTGAGGAAGTATTCTGCCTCCAGAATACAAACAGACATCTTGCCAGAATTCCCTGTCCCCCCTACCACTTGACCTATGGATTGTAAGACAAAAGACTGTGTTTCCAGCCTGTCTCCTGACCTAGATTTTGGATTTGCCAGTCTTCACAATCCCATGGGCCAATTCCTCAAAATAAACCTCTCTATCTTATTGATTCTGTTTCCCTAGAGAACCCTAAGATACCATGTGAATTAAGAGATTATGATTTGTGTTAATTCATTCCTTCAACATTAACTGATGGTCTATCAAATGGTAAAATATTTATAAATAACAGAATAGATTCTTAATTATGAATATGATTGGAAAATTTCTTATAGCCTGAGGGCTGCATACTGATCCCACGAGACCCTTACCCCTACTCGTTTCCTCCCTTTTGAATTTTTTTCTCCCCAAATTTATGACAGAAACGTCATAATCTATTTTTTTAAAAGAAGATTTATTTTGGATTAAGCGATTTCATGATGCAACATGGTTTTAAACAAAAATAGAGATCAGTATGAAAATAAAACAAATTGTACACATTAAAATATCTTTCCCTCAAAGCATTTTGGAATCATAAAAAATACAACATAAGAGTCAGGGGTTCAGATGAGGATAAGAATACAGACTTCCCAGGAAGCAAACAACTAGTGCACATTTCAGAGTCCCAGGCTCCATGTAATACTACCCACGAACCATTTCTAGGATATCAATAATCTGTTCTATTTGCTTTGGAAAAAAAAAAAGAAATTTAAATATAAGGTGAAATGAGAACTGTATAATCTTCATGCTAATAGAAAATATCTCCCATTAGTATTCTCTATTAAAATTCACACTGAATAAATATGAAGCTTAAATCAACTAAATAAAGATAGAAACATTGCTATTTAACAGTGATACTTTGTACAGTGGACACAATGGTTGGGGTTGGTGGAGAGAAATGAAAAGGTTTAAAAAAGTACACCACCTATGCTCTAGTTAAATCTTAGAAATAAATGTTTTGTACAGCGCCTTAATATTAAAAAGGGTTGTTATAAAATTAGATTAACACTTTTGTAAGAGGTGACAGATGCATGTATTTTTATTCATTTATTTTGGAATGCCTGCATCCCTATTGTAAGAACATGTTATCTTATGCAGTTTCCAACATATTAACAGCCCCAAGTTTTACTTATGATACCATATAAAGAAAAATAAGTTGTAATTACATATTTTAGAGCATTAGGGTTTTAAAAGAACACTTGGTTCTGTGTGTTTCCTGGTTAGTCCTTGCAAGGTATTTCTTGAATGTTATCCATCCTTTTTTTACAGAAGGTGATACATAACCATAAATTTACTGAGAGCTCCTTACCTGCATCAATAATAACTTATCCAGTTTGAATCATACAACATACCTATCAACACTCCTCAGGGTTGTAATATCTTAAAAGCAAGGTGGGTAGAAAGATATCAACCGCCCAAGGCCACTAGACATAAAAATCACATATAAAAATTTAATTCTCCTGTGTTCCCCAGAAACCATACAACTAGGGCCAACCTATTCTGTTGAATTTTTCAATCATGAAAGCCAAATAAACTACTTTACAGATAAAATCAAAGCAAATGTATTTTCAGTCTTGATTAACTTCCGAAATTGGAAACACTGATTAGGTCTCCATTTGCAATTCAATAACCTAAGTTTTGCTTTGTAGGTTAATAGAGAACATTTAAGCCCCCATTAGAAACCATGGAAATGTGTCAAAGAAGGTGTGCTAAAAACAAATTAAGCATAATAAATATGTCAAGCACCACCATTTCTTTTAATATACAAGACTCAATAATAGTAACAATAATTCTTAATCTAAAAAAGATCCACAACATAATTTAATGCTAAACTGTTGAATGTCTAGGTTAAGCTATGGTTAGCTGTAATACTTTCGGGGTAAATTCTGTTTTGCAGTACAGAAAATGCTAATCAACCTACTGAAGTTATAAAATGAGGGCATTTTCCCACCACGTATATTATCAAGCAATGCCCTCCTCAGGCAGCACAACATTTTTTTTCTCCAACTCAGAAACCAAGTATTTCTACCCCCAGCAGCACTCCTTAAAGTGATCCTTTCACCCTTGTTTTAATCTTCCCTCTCTCCCGTCCTGCTTCAACTATCCCTTTTACAGCCTTGGAAACCCTATGGAGCAGTTCTACTCTGCCCTATAGGGTTGCTATGAGTTGGAACTGACTTGATGGCAATGGGTTTGGTTTTTTGGTTTTGTTCCTCTGGGCCCTGAGTTACTATGATATGGGCAGCACACACACTCATTATATCCTTTGTGCCAGCTCCTTGGAATGCAGCTACCACTCCCAAATCTTAACAGTTGGTCAATAATTAGCATTACATTCTCGGGGGTGGCACAACTGCTGGGTTCCTCTTCTCCACTTTTTATTACCTTTCTAGTGGACAACGGTTGGCACTAAGCCACAATTCAGAAGGCTTTAATGTCTCTGGCATTCCTTTGCTTCCATACTAGGAGGCAAACATATTTATCTGGAAAACACAACTGAACTAGAAAGGGGGTAGTTGGAAAATTAGACTCATTAAAAATGATACAGAAGTAAGCTGGTTAAGTGCTGGACTGTTGTCACTCATCAACTAGATCAGAAAGGAGATGAGACAGCAGGAGGGCCTGAAACTCAGACTCCATTTGGAGACGAAGCCACCTTCTTCATATGCACATTTTTATCACGGAGGGTTACAGGTACCTTTTAATGATGTCAAAGCATCATTTCACCTGCCCCTGGAATTTCCTGAGTAGGAATGACTTGGACAGACTTTTAGACTCTTCATTAAAAGATGTCTGCTTTGTTAGAAGTGGTCAAGTCATAAAATTTGTGCAGAGAGATAGAAAAAATGGTTTGGATGACTGTGAGGAGGACAGGGAGGGAGAGAAAAAAAGAACCACCAGTAGTTCCTTCATCCACATCACTGGATACTTGGCTATCAGGGCTTTCTAGATCATCCTCAGTTAAAAAATTTTTTTAAAAAAATAACGTTTCTGCTAAAGTGCTTTTTTTTTCCATTATCTTCCTTCCAATTAATATTTGAAAAAAACTAAAGTACTATATAAATCTACCAAAAGCAACCAAATTTTACAATTCTGTTTTTAACTTCTTATAATAAGCAGTAAAATTGAAATAGTAAGTCTATGGGAACTTTTTCTACGAATCTACTAATTTCTTCATGGATTTTTTAGACGATGTCACATTTTAAGTTTATTTGTTTAAAATAAGAGTTTGACTAGGCAAAGCATCTTGCAAAACTCACTGAAAGTGGAATATGCTGGTAGAAACATTGGTCTCCACATCCTGAGATGAAACAGAATTGTGACTATAACATACTGAAACTGATCCCACAAGCCCTCCATGAAAATCAGCCTCAACCCAGATGGGACTTGATGCCTTCTACCCCACAAAGAATGTGAGGATCAAAAGAGATGAAGTATGTGAAAGTACTTTGAAGCTCTAAAGCACTATACAAATGTATTTTACTAGTGCTGTTATTCATTTGAATGCGTTTTTAACATTTCTGATTGTTATACAGGCGAAACAGATTTTATTTATTTCTTACAGAATTTCCATTGAATTATAAATACAACATATGCTAGAAAATTGTGACGGCACTTTTTGACCAAGGCCCATCCATTCATTTTGTGCACAAGAAAAATGTTTTAATCCCAGAGGTGCAGTTGGGCTCAGGAATTGGGGTTTTTCACACTGAAAACAGAAAAGTACATTGTAGTACAGACAAAGGGAACAGAAGGGACAATATAGGACTTTTCTTTGATAATTTGGACATCCTGGAGTTGCTCCTTCACTGTTCAGCTTCCCATCTGCAGGCTTTCAACTTTCATGTGTAAATGCACCCTGGTCTTCAACACTGGACCAGTGTTGACACATTATTACACACCATTAGTTACTAACAGAAACAGCATTTATGTGATTTTTTTTTTTAACCACACTGTCTCTCGTCTAGGAAGCCTTCATTGAATCTCCCAGATGGAAAAAGCCACTTTTTCCTTATTCCTTAATTGTAGAACTTACCAAATTTTATTAAAAATACTTTTTTTGAACCCTAGTGGTGTCTACTGTAGCTTCTCAAGGGTAGATTTTTGCATTTTGTATCTCCATCATCAACCATAATGACTGGTACAGAGAAAATGCCAATAGTGAGCGTGCCTCTTCCCTCATATAAGAGATGCTCTGAATACATATTTGATGTGTTGTGACTGTCTTTTATAGTAAAAGAAGCATTACTTATGAATTTTTTAAAGAAAACAAGACCATAAAGCCAAATTATTAAGGTTCACAGTCCAGAAGAAAATATTTATGGATATTCATCTTTGTAGAGTAAATTAAAGTCTAATTTATTCTGTGGAAATGTTATTTAATATTTTTATATAGTTATTATTGGCTGCTTTTTGTTTTACTAATGAAGAATAACAGATAAGTTTATTACGGTGTTCTGTTACACTAATTGAATCTTCAATAATTCCCAATTTTGAGAATAGTATCAACTAGATGACTAAACTAAGAAGGGCCACACCAGTTAAAGAAAACTGTTATTTGAGAAGTTGATACCTTAACAAAGAAATATACTTGTTAGAAATAATTAAAGAGACACATTTTATTTTGCATCTCTTTTACCTAATAATATAGAACATAGTAACAAAGTATCACACAGCAAAATGAAAGCTAACATGGTCTAGGAATGTATTTTTGAAAGCTACACAACCTTCTATTTCAGCTGCTTAGAGAATGCCAGCCCTAAACATCTTATATACCATCAAAAACGTGTGTGTGTTTTTTAAAGTATGTTATACTATTTTCCTTATAATGAAAAAATACAAACAAGTAAAAATAGTTTGCAAAATTAAATATATACTTATATTCGTGATCAATAAATACAAACTTACATTCCAGTTAAAATTTTTTTGTCTTCCCTTTTTTTTGGTCCAATTATGGTACACAGGCCTTCCTTTCTTACTTCCAAGTTTCTGTATCCTCTTTTTTCGAGACCATTTTCCCACACTGCAGTACCTGCCTTTAATGCAGGAATGTAACACGAGTGGTATCCGTCTTGAGGCTCACATGGTAAACACAGCTTAGCCAACTGGAGAGCCATCAGTTCTTACAAACCACCTATGCAAATCATGCATATGACCTCTATAAGATGTTAAGACTGCCAACATACCATAATAGGAATTCCATGGCTACTTACAGACATAATTCTCAAATAAATGTTCAGACAATGCCTGTAAAACCATAGGCTGATGAACCAAACATTAATACAATATTTTTATTACCCAAAATTTAACCTCACTCTATTGAACATCTGATGCATTCCGGCCTTAAGTCAAGAAATGAACAATGATATGGAGTAAACCCAGAAGCAATTAAGATGAAGGACACCCCCTGGTAAAATTAAGCAGAAATAAAATTAGTAATGCCATGCAGTTTCTGAGATACCATAGAAAATTGTTTCTCAATACTGATAAGAAAATTATGCATCAGTGAAAATGCAAGCTTAGAAATATAGTACTGAGAGTTTCAATTTGTAATGTCTTTACTGATGAGGAAAAATGGAATTCTTATTACTAAAGAGAGCTGATGTCTTCAGTGTTGCTGATGGCTCTCTAACTGAGTTCTGTGTTTAATGATGCTGTACAAATAAAAAGCAGTGGGGGAAATACGAAATATCGGTATTAAATGCCATCCTGTAAAGTATTTGATGGATGGAAGAGAGTCTAATGCATTTTAAATAAATGCATATTATACTATCACATATAGTGAGTCTTAAAAAAAATTATTACTTGTATGCACAGTCCTTGTAGTGGTAGACATGGCACTGTGAAAGACGTCTGATTTAGAAGCTATTTTCTATTATGTTTGTCAAGTGATGAAGTTGCTGTTAGTCACATTGTAATGTCCTTTCAACTTTGGTACATTCAGTGCAAAATATTTTGGGGAAATTTTTTTTTTTACCTTTACAAAAATAAAAGGTCATTTCTTTTTTCCTTGAGAGTGCTTAAAAGGATATACACTAGCATGATGCCCAAGTAAGCATGGAACATGAAAATGGAACAGGTGATACATACAGTATGACAGTATAGGTTCTTATATATATCTTAAAGAACATAAATATAATGAAGCTATAAAAAATAAACAACTCACTGTGTACTTTTTCCTGATATGTTGTGATTGTTAGTTATTTAAAACAGTTTTCATGCATTATAAAGCATAGACTCTGTCATTAGTAATTCATTGTATAACAGTTTGTCTTTAGCCATAATTACACACATACCACTTGCATATCAATTGTCACAGACTACCTTATTGCAAATCTTTAAAGTTACCTCATGTTGACCTGGTTTCATTTTCACTTGTTTCCCATGAAAGCTGAAACCTATGGTGCACGCCATGCAGGCACTCATAAGCAAGAAATGAATATTCTCTTATAATTTAGGGTTTAAATGAATGTATTTTCAGGAAATATATTTGTTTTATTATATTATTTAACTTGCACTAATTTGGAGATTGGGCCAAGTACTGTCAGTTTGGCTTGAACCATGTTCAAGGGTAAGTTTCAAGATTCTCCTGAGTCCTGAAAAATTACCATGGAGCTGATCATGTACAGGTTCCTCTTTGTCTTGGAATATAACAAATGGAAAAAGTTTGGCAGTCAAGAATTGCTGACTGAAAGACTGTTGAGTTGTTCTCTGGGTATCAAGCTCATCCAAATTCCTCTAAGAGGACTCAAAACCACTATCCTGTCCTCAAAAGTGACAAAGCACGTGTTTCTGGAAAATAACAGCAGTCTGTTTTAATATAATCTTGAAACTTTCAATGGTCAGTCATTCTTTCAGAGGGCAGCTTCTGAAACTGCTGTCCACGAACAGCTGAGTATCGTGCTTCCAGGTCACTCAAGTCCAAAGGTACTTGTCTCTTCAACTGCTGTTAAGAGTTTTTCATAAAGCATGGAGAAGGACGGGTATGGGGGCAGATCCAGACGGTTAAAACAAGTATGAGCCCTGTAAACAGAAGAAGCATCACAGGGTTTAGAACGCTTAGAGTGAAATGAGAATGTTTGTCTTCTGTGTGAGAGCATGTGTGCTTGCCTTCATATTCACACTGATTTGTTGCCAATTTTCACGCTGCTTTTGGAAAACCTTTAAAAACATTTTGACTTAAGTTCAGAATTAAATTTCTCTATGGGATATTTAAAAAATAATTTCTTTACATTTTTGAAACCATTAAAAATCCATATTACATACATATTACTGTTGGTTTAATTGTCTATGAGTTATAAAGACAAGGTTTTTTTTGTTTGTTTCTCTTCTGGTGTTAGAAATTTGTTTTTAAGACATGAATATCAAGCGTCGCAATGTAACTCATTTTCAGAGTTGGCATTTGTCTGGATATCTCTCAGATCACCTGTGGTTTTGTACTTTTTCATTTAATTGGGCAGAAAAGACCACCAAGTACCTCTGAAGAGCTGCCTCGTGGCTTAAGCGTCTTGGGAAATTCCCTGGTCTTCTCTGTTAAAGTCAGTTAACCATTGTTACGTCTTTGAATCCTGTGTTATAATCTTTTTCTCCCAATTCATAATGCAAAGTAATGGCCATTTAAATAATTATATTATGTATTCTCTTTTAGAAATATCTTCCCTTTTGCCAAGACAGGAAAAAAATATGTTTTCCTGTTATTTGCACCTGAATCACAATAAAAATAGACAAGTTTCCAAATAGTACATCTTATCAGGAAGCAAATCTGCACTTTTGACATGGAGTAGGAAGCACTCTATTCTGAATGTACAACAGCTCGTCTGTGGCAGCTAAACCATTTTTCACTTCAAAAAATGCTCCTGGATTAACATAAAATTGCAGGAGCAATGATTATTTGCAGGCTATTTCTACAAAGTCATGTGTTTAAATTTTTATTCTTATAAATCACTTGTGAAATAAAATTATATACCTAGAGGCAGTGCAGTGTAGTGGAAAGACCACAAGTTTGAACTTGGACAGACCTGGGTTTGAATTCCAGTTCTACTAACCAGCCGTGTGATTTGGGATGAATTATTAAGAATCTGAGTCTCAATATTCTCATCTGTAAAATGGGAATAAAGTAACTTGTCTCAGAAAGATGTGAGGATTAAACGAAATAAAAGAAACATTTCAGTACCATCAAAAAGACTTACTCTACTTGCCTTTAATAAGTTGCCAAAAGATGATAATGCAAAGCAGGAATATAGTCACACAACTTATAGAAACAGGAACACGGAGGGGCTCTGTTATATTATTATAAGAGTACATGTTTTAGGAGATATAGTACTGATTCAGAGTTTACTATTCCTGTTATTACAAACTCCGGGGTATATTAGGGAAATCATCTAATTAATCTTTGCTTCCAAATACTGTAAAAAAAAAAACAAAACATTTCAGAATTGTATTTAATATAATTCTTATTATGCCCTCCTTATAATGGAACTCAAACTTGGGTTTCAAGGAAAAAGTTTTACTTTTTAAAAAATTCAACTTGCATAGGAAGAGAGTCCCTGGTATAAAATCTATCTTGTGTGAGACACTGTAATAAAAATATTAGATGAAGATTTTATCTGTGTTCTAGGGGAAGGGGAGGAAGAAGCAGAGAAGTGAAATATGTTTTGAATATAATTAATGTGCCAGACACTGTGTGTTAGACATATAGCATTCATTATCTCATTAGACTATAAGAGGGTACCTCATTATTATGTATTTTTACATTTTCATTTCTTTGGTTACCACTAAGGTTGAGCATCTTTCCCCAAGTCTGCTTGCTTATTATATTTCTTGTTTTGTGAACTACCTATTCATCTTCGTCTGTTTACTTTTTAAAGCTTTGGGGTTTCTTATTGATTTGTATACATGCTATAGACTGTTTTCTTATTTCCTGCTGATCTCTTCCAGCCTATTTACTTTTTTATTTAGTTATTCATGTCATTCATACAGCACTGCTAATCTGGTTTTCTTTTTCTGACATACTATCTTTCTCTCTTTACTGTGTTGCTATGATAAGAAACAAGTTGAAAGGGTGACCTCCATTGTTTTTCATAATAAAAGATTTTTGTTATTTTTATTTTGGTAGAACTAGTGGTGTCAAAGAATGTGATAGGTTAACTTTTGGGACAACTCTTCTTAAAAAGTAACTCGATTTATATAGTTGTGTGAGTCAGAATTGACTCGACAGCAGTGGGTTTGGTTTTTTTAACCTTGAAAATATATATATAATGGAATCATACTGAGTGAATTAGGAAAGCTCACTAATGAAAGGAATTCAAGCTGACTCTTTCTCTAGGCGAGCAATATCACCACTACCAGTTGCCATTGAGTTGATCTGACTCATGGCAGCCCCATGTATGTCAGAGTAGAACTGTGCTCCATAGGGTTTTCAAACACTAATTTTTTGGAAGTAGATTGCCAGGTCTTTCTTCTGAGGAGCCTCTGGGTGGACTTGAACTTCCAACCTTCAGTTAGCATCCAAGTGTGTTAACCATTTGCACCACTCAGGGACTCTAAACCAGTTGCAGTCAAGTTGACTCTGACTGATGGTGACACCACATGTATCAGAGTAGAACTGTGCTCTATAGCGTTTTCAAAGGCTGATTTTTGGAAGTAGATTGACAGGTTTTTCTTCCGAGGAGCCTCTGGGTGGACTTGAACTTCCCCAACCTTTAGGTTAGCAGTTGAGAGCATTAACTGTTTGTACCACCCAGGGACAGGCAAGCAATAGGCCCTAATGGTTTATTTGCTTAGGACAGGACATGACTGTAGTTGTCATGTATCTATCACAACCTAGCATCTTGATAAACAAATACTTTCCCCTTAACAGATGGTTAATTTTAGCTAATTAAGAATTTAAAAAAAGACCACATGCACAGGAATAAGGATTCATAAATAGTAATGTTTGAAGCCCTCAGTTAACTTCTTGCACATACTGAGATTGAGTGCTGACTTTTAATTTGTTGTGGTCCGGTGGTGGGCAGAATTCTAAAATGTCCTTCAATGACCCCCACCTTTGTATAATCTCCTCCCCTTGAGTGTGAGTGAGACCTATAACCTGCTTGTAACCAACAGAATATGGCAAAGTTGAATGAATGTTGCAGAAATCTCTATTCAGCTGACATTAAGTTAATCAAAAGGGAGATTATCCTGGGTGGGCCTCACTTAATCAAGTGAGACCTTTAAAAGAGCATCTAGAGGTCAGAGACTCAGAGTGGCAAAGATACATTCTCCCTCTGCTGCTGGCTTTGAAGAAGTAAACTCTCGTGGATTCTATAGATGCAAGGAGTGATTTCTGTCAACAACCTCAGGGAGCTCGGAAGCAGATCCTCCCCTAGTCAAGCCTCCAGATATGAGAACGCAGTCTGGCTGACACCTTGATGTTAAGCCTTGTAAGACTTCGAGCAGAAGACCCACCTGCTCCTTGCCTGGGCTTCTGTGAGATAATCCATGTAAACTGCTAAATTTGTGGTAATCTGTTATGCAGTAATAGAGACCTAGTACGGTTTCAAAATAGTGAAACAGTCTCAGAAAAGGAGACAAGTTTGATGGTAAGTGTAATATAGTAGCAGCACCTATCAAGGCTAGGTGGTGGGGCAAAGCTGGAAGTAAACCGTGGTCGTCCCATTCTCCCAGGCTGCTGACCAGAGAAACAAGAACTCTACACGTCTCTTTGCAGATACTGCAACAGCTTATCCAGTAAATCCACAAGTCCAGGGACTCTTTTCCCTAAAAATGCAGTTCTCAACACAGCACAGGAAAAGCTGGGCAAACTTTTTTGATCTTCTTCAGTTATAAGACGTAATCACCATTACTGATCCATAATCTCAGGCTATCACGGCTTCTAAATTACATCTGGTTACGTAATATATGGTTAACATAACAGAACTTTCCTTCTGAATAAACTGAACAGCTCCTCTGGAAAATGTTTCATGAGGTTGGAGAAAGCATATAATTGTGGAGGTTGGAAACTGTGCAGGAAGATTAAATGGTTTTCCCAAGGTCAAAGCTGAGTCAGTGGCCAAACCAAGAATAGGATCTCGATCTTGGGTCTCCTAGGGAAAGTCCAGCGTTAAACCGAAAGCAAGGAGGCAAACACTCATTTGCTCTATTCTTTGACTTCTGGAAGCCTGAGTACTAATTTTATTCCACTTCTGACTGTGAAGTGCTAGTCCTCAACATCCGACCAGATTACATAAATTTTGAGGACAAGGATGAACAAGATAGAGCTTCAAATATTTTTTGAATGAACAACTCTATCACAATATGCATTAGCTCTGGGGAGAATGATCCAGATTGGGTCAGTCCAGAAAACCCTGGGAGATACCAGGGGATTTTTAGATGATCAAACTACCTAGTTCAAGCACAGTCTTACCAGAAAGCAGGGATACTCAAAGGGATTCTTTAGGGTGCATGGAAATTACCCAAGGAGCTTTTTACAATGGGGATTCTTAGCTGTATCTCCAGAGATTCTAATTCAGGGTCTGGGGTAGGCCTGGGGATCTGCAATTAACAATCACTACAGGTGACTCCGATGCAGGTGGTCTCCACCAGAGGAAAGACATCAAGTGGATTAGAAATTAGATATCTACACTGGATGTCTGCACCAGTGTTTCGTGTATTTGCAAAAATTTCAGAACTCCTCATAAACAAGACAGTATTGCTAATAAGGAAATTGAGGAACAGTGAGGTTAAATAAATTGCCCAATATTTACCATCAACTTGCTGTATGAGCCAAGAACAGGGGGAAAAAGCAAAGCAAAACAAAACACAGTCTTCTGAGGCTTTTCACACTCCCTCCCCCACCCCATTCCATGTCCTAAGAAAACTCTAGCAGAAAATAACAGGAGGGCCCTTGGACTTTGTTGATATTGGCAGCAAATGCACATCCAGCTATTCAGTCTCAATAAAGGAACATTTTCCAAATCTTTCAAAGGCAGCCACACTAAAGCTATAATGAGTTTACCTCATTTAAATCTGTGCAGCCAGAACCA